GGTCTTTAGGCCTAACTTCACACTATAAGTGTAAAAGGATCTGATGACCCCTTATATGAGTTGTTGCCCTTTAGCATCTTTGTACTTACTATTAAACCTTATAACTTGAAAACAATAAGTCATAGAAGCATGGGGTAAATTGTATGGTGACCCTTGACCTTTGACCTTGAACTTTTTCAAGGGACTAAGGTCAAGGTCATCTTTTTTTATTTATCATTTTTTCTATGCTTTAAGACAATTGTAGTTTCTTTTTCATGGAATTTAATTTTAAGGAGTCAGCTATAAAAGATATTTGAAGTGCAAGAAGGTGGAAAGACCTCTTATTGTTCTGTGAACAATAAGTCTCCTAGTTTTATTTCTCACCTTATGTTTTGACACTGTAAGACTTATCGAAAAACTTTATAGTTCATGATACTGGATAGTTAAAGTTATTCCGAAAAAATGACCCCCCCCCCCATGATTTAACTTAGACCCCTTATGCAGTTATTGCCCCTTTCTCCGTAAAGCTTGTTATCGCTACTCCTCCGAAACCGTAAAGATGATGCAGAACCTTTACTAACGTCTTCAACTGATTTGGAGTCTTTTCAATCTTTTCATTGCAAACGTTTTTTGACCCTTTCAATGAGTAACTACCCCTGAAAGTTTATAAATTTTATAAAAATCTAAAAATTTTCAAAACGAGAAGTCATAGAGACATGAAACCAACTGCATAGTTTTAATGACCATTGACTTTAAATTTATTTCAAGGTCAAAGGTCAAGGTCATTCCAAATATTAGGAAAAGAATTCTTTTGATAGCTCTTGTATTCCTTTTGCATTCTTCTAACAAAACATTATTTATATTTTTTAGAGATGGTTCCCTATTTAGCAAATCTAATGCTATCGCATCGGGTCCATTTTATGAAATTGTCTTGAACTGTGCAGGCAACGAAGTTAATATAAATAGATGTCCAAAAGGATCAAGTGGCTGCCCATCAGGATCACAAGTAGATGTTAAATGTAAAAGTAAGATTCGTGCTGTGGAGTAAATATTGAAATGAAATTTGATCACAGATATTAATTAGTGTTGTCTAATCGGACGTTTTTAGTAACCGGCTACTCGCTTTAAAACCTTCCGATCGAGTACCCGGTTAATCGGATGATTTTTCGTTAAAATTTCAATATCTATCATTATCTTTATCTTTATCCATATCCACCATTATCATTTTTATTCTTTACTTGTCAGTAGTTGTAATATACAAATATTATACTATATATTAACAATATTTACAACACAAACATATGATATCGTCAAAAGATTTTTATTTTTATTTCCCGCCCCATAATATATCGCAGTGAAGGAGATATATTATTTACATACTCCGTAATTACTTGTTTGTGGGGTGCCCAGTAAATTGCTAGATTCTGTATTATAGTTTTCGCTTAGGTGATTTAGCAGATTCTGAATCAAGTGTTCATTTAAATCAAACCCGCACTTAATAATGTGGCTGCATTTCATTTATTTATCAAATGACTTTGTTATAACTCGGATCTTCAAGGCACCAAAATCCGTCAATCAAAGCATTCAATTATAAAAACTGAAATCTAATCAAAACAAGTCGATCCACTAGATCAAGTCTAACAGTACCTAACAATTTGGTAATGTATAAGTATACATTTAAAAAGCAATATCGCAATTTTTTTTCTGTCCATTTACTTTGTTCTAACCGATTCTCGCATACTTCAACGGTTAATCGGATAACCGGGTACTCCTTGACAACACTAGTATTATTGTATGAATTAATAATATGTGAATAGATAATTTTAATAATATCACATAAATATGTGGCGAAACCAACAGTATTCTTTACACAAATCATCAGAAAGTGTTACGATTAATTTTTCTTTTATTTTTACCAGAAGGCAAAGCCTTGTCTGGATTTTCCGAAACTATCCTGTTGAAAATTTATTAAGAATGGTTCATATTTTTTATCTTTCCAGAAGGCAGCACACTGTCTGGATTCTCTGTGTATGTATCTGATACAGATGACTGGAAGTCAGGAACTCTCTGTTATCATCACGACATACAACAAATACCGCAAAATAACATTACTTTGGATTGTGTCACCTCTGGTCGCTACGTCACCGTTTACAATACAAGGAATATAACGCTATACCCAAATGTATCCGAATTTGCATATATAAATATATGTGAAATGGAAGTTAAAGGTAACGGTTTTCTTCCTTTTGTTGATGGATTGACACATCATATTATTTTAGAATGACTTCTATCAAGCTTTTTTACTTTCTTTCTTTATTCTTGTTTTAAGTGTAACTAACTGTTAGTCTACACACTCCTCATCAATGAATTGCAGGACAGGCCAAAAAGAGAAATTCACGATTTTGAATTCTTATTAAAATTCAAAGGATTTTGTTTTGTACACGTTTAGACGTAAAATTCCATTAAATATATTTTGAACATAAGTTATTGCACAAATCATGGAATAAGTATTCTTTGTATTAAGAAGAAATAAAATGATCAATCATCCCCATAATTGAATATTACCTTTTAAAAGAATTTTCATTGACAGATGATACAAACAAACTTCTGTCCAAAATGAAACCAGATCTTGAATCATGCTTATGAAAGTAAAAAGAACATGTATAATCGTACATTTTTGTCCCCCGCTTTCGCAAAAGCGAGGGGACATGAAATCTCATTCGTCTGTCCGACAGTCTGTCTAGCCGTCCGTCTGTCCGTCTATAACAAAAACTTTAACCTTGCCCAAAACTTTTGATTAAGTGGAGCTATGACTTTCATATTTCATTGTGTATGCCTTGTGACAAGTCCTTTCTTTGACTACCACCATATTTGATTTTTTGACCTTGACCTTGGAGTTTGACCCACTTTTACACAAAAATTCCAAATTTTTACTTTGACCATATCTTTTGAATGGTAGAAACTAGGACTTTCATATTTCAAATATCTATTTCTTGTGGCAAAACCTTTTATTGGATACAAACAACTTGGACCTTTTGACCTTGATCTTGGATATTTCAGTCCTTTTAAAAAAAACTTCAACCTTTATCATAACTTTTGAACGGTAAGGACTAGAGCTTTTATACTTCATAGATGTAATTCTTGCGAAAAGACCTTTTATTGGATACCAAGAACTTAGACCCTTTGACCTTGACCTTGAGGATTGACCTACTTTTCAAAAACTTTGACCTTGGCCATAACTATTGGACGATTAGGGTTTTCATCTTTCACTAAAGTATTACTTGTGACCTTTCTTAAAAAATCAATAACTCAGAACCTTTCACCTTGAAGTTTAACCTACCTTTCAAAAAATTATCCTTGACCATAACTTTTGAACAGGTGGTGCTAGGGATTTTGTATTTCACAATCGTATTTCCTGTCTGAAAAACCTACTTTGGGTAATAATAAATTTTATTTGCATCTAAGAAAAGTTAAATCTTCGTTATGTTGCCATACGGGTTCATCATTGACTCACAAACATATTTTGTTCCCTATATTGAAAAAAAGATTGGACTTTCATATTTGACATGTGCATTACCTGTAACACGATATTTCCGAACATGCTATGATTTCTTACCCCTTGAACTTGATATGCACGATTGACCTTATTTAAAAAAATCAACTTCAGTGATAATTTCTAAATAAATTACATTTGATATGGTGTTCATATTAGACTCAATATGTCATAATAAAAAATGACATCTCACCCAGAAAGACACCGAAAGCGGGGCACCACAATTCTTTGAATTTGCTTGTTTTTAAATTTTTTATGCAAATTTTTGAAGCATTGGGGTTTTAGGTGACAAACATTAATAGAGATTATGACGTATTGTTGAGAAAGGATATAATTTTAAACATCTTAGCAGGATAAAAATGTCTATTTATCTTGAAGATTTATAATTTGGTTCATTAACAACAGAAATAGTCCCAAGAATATGTCCCGATTCAGATATCCTCTTTTTTTTTATCAAATGTCCTAAAAGACCATACTATATAATAAAAAATATTCAATTATCAAATTGCTTGTTTTTTTTTTTTTGTTGTTAAACTTCCCAAATTCAAATGTTTCTGTCAATTTCATAAAAACATTTCAGAGCCATTTGATTCTGGAACGAAACTTTCGAAAACGTTCTGGATGTTGCTAAAAAATTTTATATAGATTGATTGATTGATTGATTGTATATTGTTTAACGTCCCTCTCGAGAATTTTTCACTCATATGGAGACGCCACCACTTGCCGGTGGAGAGCTGCAAATGTTTGGCCTATACTCGGAACTCAGGGCCATTGAGCAGTGAGGGATCTTTTTCGTGCCAATACTGCGACACGGGACCTCAGTTTATACGGTCTCATCCGAAGGATCGGTCTCCACGTCCCACAGTGGGATTCGAACCCTCGACGTAAGGATTGACTCCTTACTTCGCGACTCTTGAGCAGACCCTCTAACCACTGCGCCATGCGGGCGACTTTATTGTATATAGACAATATCATTTTATGATTAACTCGTGAAAAACTCCTCGCTTAATTTTATATACAGTTAAACAGGCTTATTTTCTTTTTATAAGCGTTAAACATTATATGCGTTAAGTTTACTATGCATAATAAACTCATGAGGAATGCTTTAAATATATGGAGGAAACGAACAGTATTCAGGCTCAAATTCAATGAGACATACAAACTAAAGTACCGACCGGACACAATCTAACAGAGAGCGAACCCGGGGCGGACCCCGTACTGATAACTGCATTTGTTGAGCTATTCAAATTATCTAATGTTTATTAATTCTATGCCATTTCTTTGGCATTTTAAATCCCTTTCCTCCTTGTACTAAAACATGTTCATCCTCAGCAGGTATTTGCCACATTTCATTTGATATAATTCCCTTCTGAACTTTCATACAGGTATTTACATCACATTATATTATTGATAAACCATTTATGTTGTGATAATCGGTAGCAATTGTTTTGTTGCAATCTATTTGCAGGATGCGACATGGGATTTTACGGAGAAAGCTGCACAAGGTGTCCTAAAAACTGTTTGAATAAAACCTGTCACTTTCAGATTGGATATTGTTTTGATTGTTCTGATGGATACATTGGGCGTTATTGTGAAACAGGTATTTGTGTATATGCTTTGATACTGGAAAAATTTTGAAAGGTCCTCACTTTTTTGTTTTCTTTTTTTTTTTTATCTTTTGTTTGTTGTATTACTGGTAGTGAATTGCGAATCATTCTTGTTTTTATCTTGTTAACAATAAACAAATTTATTCAAATTGGTTTTAGGAGGCTGGTGGGTCAACAAATTAATCCCAAATTAAACACCAGATTTAACTTATTTTTTTAAATACGGTATCTTAAGCTGTCAACTATCATTTGACAAAGAAAAAATTCATACATTTTAGTTTTAAAATTTTATCATTTTTGTATATCTTTATATAAAGCTCTTCTTTTAAAGGAGGTTGAAATAGTCAAAAAATGGCTGCCACCCCAGCCTCTTTAAAATTCAAAATAATTTTGAAATATTGTTGAAAATATTTTTTAAATATTTTTTTTTTGATCTTCTGACAACTGCAAAAAATGAAGGTTTACAGAAAGGTTAAAAAATTTTACAACCTTACTCTTGGCTGTAGCCTGTAGAGATGACAAGGACAAGAAACATTTTTTTAAAATTAGAATATGTTAACAACCTTTTCCTTGAAGAGTTTGAACTTGGACATACATGTATTATATTACTTGTTGAAGACAAATGAAATAAGAAATGACCGCTGAGATGGAAAGAAAAAGGATGCTTACTTGTCCTAGGTATCCGAAACCCTGTCTGGAATTTCCAGACTTCAGTTTTCTGTCCTTTGCAAAGACTTGTTTTGCTATCGTAATTTTTTATATCTACAAAATCTCCGTTTGAATCTTTTTAGACAAGCAAAATGTCAGTAATGTAGAATATTTGCGATGTGTAGATATTGAAGTCAACAGTGTGTAAACAGTTTAGGGAGTTTCTTTGATAAAATTTTACATCACATATTGACGTGACATACTTGCAATCTACACAGCTGTGTGCCAAGATGAAACACCTCACAATTATTTAAAAATCAAGCAAAATTATCATAAATAGTTCGTACAAATCACCACCAATCGATTTTCTCGACCGATCGACGAGGCATCCGCAATAAATCAATGAATTAATATTCGCGATTTAAAGAAGTTTGCGAAGCTTTCAAATATTTATAAAACTCCGAAGAAGGCTAATTTCTAAAAAATAAATTTATTTTTGTAAGAAAATGAAACTTAATACGACAACAACAGACAAATGAACACATTTTGTTTTTAAAATGCTTTTTGCTTTTGTTAAAATTTTTCGAACGTTCTAATCCCCCCCCCCCCCCCGATTTCTCATGCAAATGAATCTTCGTCACAATCACTGGGATTTAAACTAGAAGAAATCTTTCATCCTCAAGAATGGAGTAGGGCTAAACCCTGAAAGAGATATAAGAAATGTTATTGGCAAAAAAAAAAAACAACAAAAAAATGAGTAAATATATGTTGGAAGAAGCTTTTTAATTATCTCAATGCATTAACTTTCGTTTTATATATATTATGAAGAATGCGCAGCTGGTAAATATGGACAAGGATGTTCTGTCAAATGTGGACAGTGTATCGATGATAAACCATGTAACCACGTGAATGGTTCTTGTCCTGGAGATTGTTCTGCTGGATGGAGAGGAGATAGATGTGATCAAGGTTATCTAATTTTTTAAATATATTTTTATATAATAAATATATTTATTTAAATTTGAATTACGTATAAAAATACTATAAGTTCCTTTTTTCCCGTACTAGTACGTTTCTAATTTATTGCGTTGATTGTCACTGAAGCTATTTTGTACAAAAGACATATAACCAGTTCAGAAATAATATTTTTCTATAACCAGTTCAGAAATAATATTTTTCTGAAGAAGTATCTTCATTTAGTATCTTTTCATATAAAGCAAGTTTTTTTTTTTTTTTTTTTTTTTTTTGGGGGGGGGGGGTACTTTATTGGAAGAGAAAAAATACGTTTTGTTGATATGTGCAACAATTTGACGCTTTGCTTTTCGTTGGATCTGAAGATCTGCACCCATCAACTCGACGATATCACTGTTCGGATCAAGTTACTATTATTATAAAATATATGTATTAGGTAATTAAAACGCAGGTTATTCCAACAACGCTAAATTTCTTATATCCTTGTTTCTGGTATTTCCAATATTTTTTATTGACGCTTGTTTGAAAAAGGAGAAGCAATTAATTGAAAAACTTTGCAGAATGTGAACATGGACATTTCGGCCTGATGTGTAAAGAGCACTGTAGTCAACATTGTTTGGAATGTATGTCATGTGATCACGTGAGTGGGTCATGTGATGGAGGATGTAAGGATGGCTGGATTGGAGCTAAATGTCGGGATCGTGAGTAGATATAATCCACATGTTGAAAACTTAGATCTGTATGTAAAGAGATTTAATATTCTTTTATGGAAAACCCTGAGCACTCTTGCTAATTAACCAAAGGTCAATAAACTTAATTGTTTTACTACAGCATGTGCCTCGACCTTCTATGGAGTTACCTGTAATCAGTCTTGTAGCAACGACTGCAGAGATAATATATGTAACCCAGAGACGGGATACTGTATCAGATGTAATGAAGGCAAATCTGGAGAGTTTTGTCAGAATGAAATTACCACGTCAGGTATAAAAAGGCACTTTGAAAGATAAATACTGAGAAAAGACTTCTGATACAACACCGATTGATCACAGATATTTTTTCTTTAATACTAAAAAAAGACACTAAGGACAAGGAATTAAAAGCATATCTTAAAAGAATTTACATATATATATATATATATATATATATATATATATATATATATATATATATATATATATATATATATATATATATATATATATATATATATATATATATATATATATATATATATATATATATATATATATATATATATATATATATTGGGATGAGATATTGATGCCATTTTCATTCAAAATCAGTTAAAAGATACACTTATATTTCAATCCACGAATAAGTTTTATGTCTGTGTAATGTTCCCTTAATTGTATTTCACTTTCTTTAAAAATCTTTTCAATATTTTATCGTTTGCAATAATATTTTAAAACAGATATCTAAATCAGCATTGTGCTGTGTTTTTAGAAATTTTAGTTGTTTTTTTTTATTGGTTTATGATTTTTTAAAATACCTTTTCGGTTTTTACATATTTTAAGCTTAAATGCATCATGCCTATCTTTGTCGAAACAAAAAGAATTGAAAATTTGAAATTTAAATACCATTGCGACGTCATTTAAAATAAATAATTTTACAAAATTAATCATAGTTGAATCGTTTAACAATATTATACATGTAAGCATATACATGCAAAAACTTTTATGAAGTAAAACCACGAATATTCCAGTATTTGACTTTTTTAAAACAAATTTGAACAAGCCTTTTTCCTGAACAATATTTGCAGAGGTTAATAATATAATGGTACTAATGACGATATTACTTTAAGCATGCAATACATCTGAATGAAAATGTAACTAATGTTGGTAAAAAAAGAGAAGATTTTTCCATGTTAAAATTATTTTGAACAAAAAAGCAATAAATAATGTAGTATAGTTCAGTCAATTTAAATCGCTCAAGCTTATTGTTCTCCATGATCATAACAATTCCACTCATGTATGATACAATTTCTTCAAAACTTAATAGCAATTGCATGTTAACAGGTTTATATTTCAAATTCTCATAATTTTTTTTTAAATGAAAATCCCTTTATTGTCATACCTTTCCCTAAACGTACAATGTATCGGAATTACTGGTCCTTTATAGACAAAAAAAAATTAATAAGTTTTGGTAAACAGTTTATTGATATTCTTACTGGCATAAAATGCCCAAAACTGTTTGATGCTTTTTCAGGACAGTGTTTGATTATCATAACTATCATGATTGCAAAAGTTCCGTTTTGAATCAGAAATCATTCATATTGCAGTCTTAAATTTTCTATATTTTTTTTTTGGCAGAACCAACCATTTCGAAAAACATGTTCATTCTGGCAGTCTCATTACTTGCTGTGGTCATAATGTTACTGGTAGCAACACTTGTTCTCTGCTTCCTGCAAAGAAATTGCCGACCGTCTAATTCAAGCAATTCAGATCCAGTCTACGAACGTACTGTGGCTAGAAAAGAAGACAAATCCGAGTATGCTGATATTCACGACCCAATGTCTAATAAAAATACAGGAATCGACACGTCTCACTATATGGAAATATCTAATAATGATGTCAAATCTAGAACTGAGTACATTAATCTTGGATGATTTTATCATTTGAAATAAACATGTTTCAAGCAAATTGATTAATTTACAACTCAAAGAATAGTTTTCATCCATATAAGCATTTACGAACTATCCATGACATCTTTGGTATACAATGTAGTTTTTCTTCTATTTATAAATATTCCATGAATATGTCTAAGGAATGTAAAGAGAGCTTCTAAGACAAAAAGGTATTGTAAGAGAAAATTGTCACCGTTTTGCAATTCGGATTTTGACACATTTCTCGAATTCATGTTACCTATAGGGTTGTGTAATTTTTACTTAAACTATAAATTTTATAGATTTATTTAAAATATCACATTTACATGCTTCAAATATTTTAGATAGCTAAAAAAAAAATGTAATTCGGGATATGATTTTCAAGGCTGTTGCATGCATAAAAAAAAACTTGTAAACAATAAATTTGCATTGATTTTGCAATAATTCCAACCTTCATTTTATTTATTGATCCCCTGCGTTTTTATTGGACGAGAGTACGTTTTAGAAAAAGTTTGCACATCGATAAATTTTCAATCAAATTACTTTCTTAACCAAGCTTCTGGGCTATCGTATAAACAATGAAAACGGTTATTTCTGGGTTGTTCTAGCTAAATTATGGATACAAGAAGATTCAAATTTATTAAAAAAAAACAAAACTGGCGAAAATATGAATGACCTCGTAATTACGATATCTCTTCACTTAAACAACATTCGATAAGTCTTTATAAGTTTATGTATTGATTGTTTTGACAATTTAAGCTGAACTCTTTCGAAATTCATCTCGATCACTTTCCTTTGCGGTATAAAGTATTCTTACGCCGTCCAGAAATAACTGATTGTATGGTGGCCTCAAAGAGAAATAATTTAAATATTTTTAAAAATTCGGTATTGGAATTATAAGAATCAAACATTCTTCTTGAAAAATTTATCCATGTGTAAACTCCTGACATTTTACTCACAAACTAAACATAAAAGAACGTTAAATCCTATAATAAAACAAGTTTAGAATAAAGTCAATCAATGTATCAAATAACAGATACTAATGAATATGCTTTACATCGATTGTTACAAACCATTAATTTCTCTTTCCCTGTAACTTCCTTTTCCTTACTCTAAAAAAAACCTCGTCATTGATATAATTAAAAATTAGTCATCGAGTGTAAAAATAACTGACGTGAACACAATCCGTTGTAAATATTATTGATTATTATGCTTCCTGTCAGTTTCTCTCTATATAACCCACACCCTACTATTCTTTCATAGTGTGCTAAGGATTTATATAGCGTAAGCATACTATGCCGAAATAGTGCACGGCTTCCATTTTTGAAGAAAATCCGACAACGCCAATACCGGGGAGGGAACTCAAGACCCCGAGATTGTCAGTCCTACGCACTACCGATTACTCCACAGACGCCGTTAAATTATTGTACTATAATATATATAAACTTGCTTTTAAATATTTTACACTTAAGATTAAAAATATGCAAAATAATTCTTCTAAAATAGTTTCCTGCAACCCCCTTCCTTCACTCAAATACTATTCTCTAAAACTATCTGTAGATTATACCTAAAGCATGGAACGTTCAAAATTAAAGAGAAGGATTATGACGTACATATTGCTTAAGGTGACGTCATAATAGAGTAGACGAATTTAAGACGTGATGAAACATTGGGAATGTAGAAAATATTGCCGTTTTTTTTACAGTAATCACAGTCAGCATAATAATAACAACAGTGTTGTGTTTTGCGTGTACTATGCCTAAATAGTAGTCAGGGTTTGACACATAGTGCACTCGCCTCCGGCTCATGCACCATGTGTCAAACCCTGACTACTATTTAGGCATAGTACACGCAAAACACAACACTATTATATAAATACAAGCTTAGGGCTTATCAAAATAGATCATAGACTGATATAAAGAAATTAATTAAAACTTGGTCTATGCGTATAATATTCTTTAAGAATCCAAAACAATGGTAATAATGATATAATAATATACTGTATATATGATAGATTACCATTTTCAGGGTCTATCTTATTAGTTTTTCATGATGGAAACCGGGAGATGGGACTAAAGATATCGATTAATCTGTCTGTCTGTTCCTCTGTCTGTTTTCCTGTCTGTCTGTATCACGTGATTTCATGCATTTTTTTTTCTAAAATGCTTTGCAGAAAATTAACTTAACTTTGAGAATATGTGAGTGTATCTTAATGAACTAAAGATCAAATCTGCATTTCGTCTGCTTCAATAATTTGATAGGAATTATGTTTTCTTTTATTTTTAAGGTTTTTTGCATTCTTTTTAAAATGCAATGTCCATACTTTTGCCGGCCAACCCTAATATTTGTGCCTTTCTATATCCTGATGGTTTCCTCATAGTGTGCTTAATAGTCAAAAATATAATAAACTATTCTCTGTATGAGGAAACATTGGGAAAATGTGAGCAATTCCCACAAGGATAGATTTTATCGAATCACTAAAATGACTTATGATGAAAGACAAAATGAAAACTGTATGTTAAAAAAATCAAGTCGATATCCATTTTTCTTCCCTGTAATTCAGAGTTAGTAATGCGTCTAAAAGGCTTTATCATTTGCATCTCCTCTAATGTAAAGGAAATAAACACACTATATAAAATATATACACAGTCCTTCTACAAAAATATTATTTTTAAAAACGTAAGATATTCAAAAGGATGTTAATAATTTTAGCATAAATTTGGTGACTCATGTTGTTTGAGGAGCATAGATAATCAATTTCAAAAAAGTCAGTTGAAACAAAAATTAAAAAATATAAGAGGGGAAAACATCTCAAACACGGTTCAATCTTGAAAATAATCAAGGAAAAACATGGAGAGAAAAAAAACAAGAAGACACAAAATCAATGCCACATTAATTCTTTTCATCAGGAAATAGGATCAGGTGTGTAGTAGGAGAAACTATATGCTGACTACCTATACAGCTTTGCCCGCCATGAGTCCTGCCCTTGATCGAGTAGATGGATTAACAAGTGATCAAAATTTATTGCAAAATATTTTTATTCTCATGAGAAGGATATATCTTATGGACTTTGAGATTGAATACTGTTCGTTATCTCCATATCCTTCATATTGAGATTACTAACAGTATTCAATATCAAAGTCCATAAAACAATATAAAATAGGAGCAGAGCAAACACGGACCTCCGAAACATCAGAGGTGGAATCGGGAGTCATGGAGGAGTTAAAAATACCCTGTTGACCGGTCACACCCGACGTCTGCTCATTGTCATTATCGTGAAATAACGGAAAAATCCGTCGTCAATTCGTCTGTCAGCATTTGACTCAATGATAAATTGTATATGCTGACAAGATCATTTTATCGACCCTAGAACTTACGAAATGATGAATAGCTTTAAACGTGACTGATGAGATTCTTGATTCATCAACTTGCTTGTCAAAAAATTATCCCGTTACCCCTTTATTTTCGTCCATATTATCTTTGAAGTTGTTGTTTTCATATTCAAAAGATGTCTCTCTTTTGACGGTTTAAAAGAAAAAAACGTTATTAACCTTTATTTTACATTTTTCTTCGATTTCGTAAAGCATAGTCATAATTTTGAAACGAGCGTCTATTTTCCTTTTAATATGTATTTTAAGTAAAACGATCTTTGTTTTTTTTCTTTTATAATTGCTTGACTTTTTGACCTTCACATCTGCCTTTGGACTACTTTAGATAAACTTCTCTTTCAGTACCATTATTTTTTTTAATTTGATATTGATTTTGATGTTTGAACTGCATTAGGAAAAATCTTACTTTAGAATAAAAAAAAAAGAAGAAAAACATGCAGTGACATCATATTTTTTCAAACATTGCTTGTATTCTTGAATGAGTTTGAAATGAATATGTATTAAACATAAATATTTCAATCGGCTATGATAGTACTAAATTTATCCGAATTTGTTAACATGTAACTAAATCAAGAACATTGATGTGACGCTTGCAATGAGGTGCTCCATGAGTTAGCGTTCACCAGTTGAAATATATAATTTATCCGGCAATTTTTTGTATGAAATTTTACTAGTTTCTTGCACTAAGCAATCATACAGAAAGATTATGTGAAGGTAACAAACAGTGTTCGAGCTTAAAAGTTAAATGATCATTACAAATTAGGAACAGAGCAAACATGCACCTCCAAATCATCATATATGGGATCAGGTGCCATGGAGGAGTGAGCATCTCCAGGACACCGGTCACAGTCACCTTGTGCTCCTCGTCATGTCTTGTATATGTAGTCATAATGATATTGTTTGCAGATATCGAGCTTGGAAAATGAAGTCACAGTGGGGTTAAAAGATGCAGACACATGTTTCAAGTGTTTGTAACATGTGAAAATATTGCTGGTGGAACATCTGCATCACCCTACCAATCGAACATAAAAAGTTTATGCTAAATATTGAAATATAACAGGTTTAAAAATGATAATGGTATTTTTGTGTTAAGCATAATAATTTTTATTATCAGTAAGATAGTCTTATGTGCACTGCAGAACTACACTTAAAAATGTTCTTTGGCTTCGGAACATGTGGTCGAGGGTTAGGAATGGGAAAATGTGTGGTATTTTTGAGTGTAGTTGGTAAAAATATGAAATTTGTTAGGGGGACTTTTGGATTATTTCTAATATTCAATTCATCTTTTATTGCTATGAAATTGTAGTTGATAGGATTTGTCAAATTTTATTTCATATTATTTTTTTTTTTTTATCTTTTTTTACGATTTATTTCTGGGTCACATGCTGTACAAGAAGAAAATATATGCTCAAATATTTCAAAACCGAAATTGAAAAATTGATCTTAACACCGGTTTAATATATATTACTTTAAAAAAATGTAACGAAGTAACTGAATATATATAAAAACTGTAATATATATTTCCGTGATGGATAAAGCTAGACTGTACAAAGTATAGTAATATCTCATATATCAGCTGTTCGTTACTTGACTAGTATAAAACATAATTCTTAAGCTGAGTGTAGGAAATGAGGATAGTGCAGGGGCTTACGCTTGTTTTTTGAAGAACAACATGATACACATTAAAATATGTTTACGTCCTTTACCCAAAGACTGCTGTGATGTTTTGGAGGTATGGAAACTTTGACGAAAATGCAAACAATAGATAAAAGAAATTCCACATCGCTTAAATTCATGCACACCAGAATCAGATAACTAATATTCCATATTTCAGTTAAAACTAATTAGTTTATGCCCTTGCACTTTTGATGTAAGTCACGAATAAACTTTAAGTTAGATTTTTTTTAGACATTTTTGTAATTATTTAATTAGTGAATCACGTTTACTGCGTCATGTTAAGGCTGGTGACGTAATATTTGATTTAGATTTTATAAATAATTAAAAATAAATGAACTTAAGTTATTATATAAAGTACCGACCAGACCCAACCTGACACCCAAGCAGTCCCAGAAAGCAGTCCCCTGGACTGCTTTGAGACCGCTGTGGGACTGCTTTGGGACTGCTATGGGACCGCTGTGGGACTGCTCTTACCTTTCTATTTGAGGTTAGAGCTGTACAAACAATTTAATATTAGTTTTTCCTTGTTCACCAAACCTTAAAATTGACAAGCTAACAAAGACGCATGATTTAAATATTTCATAGCTCCGGGAGTAAGGAAAAAGTTTTTTATCAACCATTTATATATTACAGTGTAATGCAGTTATTTAAACAGTGTAAGATAAATAACATCTTTAAGCAGGAGTATTTTACTTTATAACGTGGGATATTTTACAAGAAAGGTGGTTCCGATATGAACAGGGAGGAAGTGTTGCTTATTTAATACATTATGGATCTTGATTTCATAATTTTTCTATTTATCTTTAGCCAGTTACCTCACAATTCTCAACAATATGGTAGGTTCTCATTTTTTGTTTTATGTTCAAATCGTACGAAAACATCAAAAGTTTAAAAAAAATAATTGTCAAAGATTTAAAGAAGAAAGTAAGCAAATAAACAGAATAAAAAAATACGTAAAGAAATTAAAGAAATATACTTATTTTAGAAATATCAAGAATCAAATAGGAGGTTAGATTTTAATGCCAATAAAGATGAAAAAGGAGTGTGAAAATAGATACAAAATTACTTTCAGAAAATCTTGCCATAAGGAAATCTGTGACGGTCAGTAGTAGATACAACAATGGATACTTTGAACCAAGCAAAGCCGTAGACGGAGATAAAAGTGCATACCTCCTGGACTGCGCACTGACAGCTTCCGGTCAGAAAGAGGCGTGGTTAACTGTGGATCTCGGGGATAATAAAAATATTGCATCAATATCAATCTTACATGGGGGTTGTAAGCTTTCATATATGCGTTATTATACTCCTCTTTCCAAAAAAAAAAAAGAAACAAAAACATAAGTCGATGTTTAATGAGCTTTTATTGTTCTTAAGAGGACAAGTTTTGCAACAATACTATTGAAAATATGGATATGTCATCGCAAATCTCGCCTGAAAGTATTACACTGTGGCCTAAATAGCGTTGCCTTGAGTTTTGATACTATTGGATTTGACAATTGAACAATTTGAATCACGGGTTTCATTCCATAAAACAAGCGTTTTAATTGGTTGATTAGGACCCGCCCACTCTCGTGCAGTATCCTTTGCCTGAGTTGGAAAGCGTCAAACGGCCTAATGATTGTCGAAAATCGATGGTGACTTTTTGAACAAAAAAAACACACAAACTGTAAAATCACTTTTTAGCATGTTATATATTCCTTTCGCAGACCGTACATATTTATAGCGTTGGATGACACACTGCCGATTTTCTATTCACAGCATTTTCCGTTGTTGTACCGCTTCTTACGTAGAAAGCAAACCCAGCTAATAGAGGTCTACCGGGGCACCTGATAAAAATACATATATTTATATGTGGTAAAACATCGGATTTATTCAAAGGTTTACTTGGTTTTTTTTTTTGTCACGGTCAAAAATACCATGTTTCAAATGTGTGTGTGCTACTGCTTTTTTAACTGTCGTCATGGTGATATTAAAACAAGTTGAAATTATTGTGGGTTTTTTTCATGCAGTGTACTTTTTACTGTTATGGCGAATAAATCAATATTATTCATATGTTCACTGTAAAATAATTAATATCACTAATACATTTTCCGAATTTAAGTACGTTTTAGTTTTATTGATGTACTGAAGAAATAAACAGGAAAACGGCACTGTTTTTCAATCGCAAAAATAAGCCACGGGTGGCGTGTATTATTTTAAGTCAACTTCTGCCAGTCCTGGATCGGATTTTATTTAAGAATTCAAGATCATTATACAGGTTGCCCACACTCACAATAATTTAGTAAGGTATCACATCTACATCATACATGTACATAGGTCCACTATATACTTCCGAAGCCTTCGCTCAGTAAGTAGATGCCTACAACTTGTTTACAGCTGTTTCCATAAGAAAGTGGGTGGGCCTAGAGAAAAGCACCAAGCAGATTCTTTGTTGGATTTCGCAATTGTATTTCAGTCAGATTCATCAGTGTCATCACTCAACGCAATAGTTTATCGGTCCAAGTGTATACTTTGAAGCAAGATTTGCAATAAGGCTACGACCATTATATTCTACTTGCCTATACAGTTTGACGTCATCGTATGCTATATGAAGGGAACTTTGCATATAATTGATTAGAGGTTGTATAAATTAGTTGAAACCTGCAGAAGCTTAATATCGCCAAATCTTCTTGTTTCGTGGTTTTATAAATAGCTATGTTTTTGTCACTAGGGTTAAACACCAAACCCATGACGTCATAAACATTGATCAAAATAAACAGAGTTAAACGTAAGGAAAACTAAATGTAAACAAACACAAAAAATGGAAGTTAAAAAACATTTAGCAGGAATACCATGTGTGATTCATTCGGAAATAATGCAAAAAAAGTGTAAATTCGCCAAATCCTGATCTGTGTGCTGCCTTAAAATATCTGCATACATGTATCATTTAAAGCTTAAAGAAATCTAAGACAATCAGATCATATTTACCATGGAAGGTTACATGCTTTTGCTTGAAAATCAGTATAAATGAGTGGTATCGTTGAACAAATTTGCACAAAAATCCTCTAAAATATATTGAAACCTTATATATTAAAGGACTTAAACATACATATCTCACTTTCAGTTGGTCTTGGTGCATTCTCACTAAGAACATCTGACTCTGGTCTCTTTCCTGATTCAAATGGAGACGGAGAAGTCTTTGCTGCTAGTCCATTGAGAAAGATTTGTTTGGATAGCTTTGATGAAAAGGATGCCCAGGCCGTTTGCCTGGCTTGGGGATTTATACCGTAAATATATATATATATATTTAATTACTTTTATGACATTTGATAAACTGTTGATATCATTGATACATGTACTTATGAACAATAGAGCACATGATTATAAATATGAGCATAGAGCAAACAAAAGAATTTTTGATATCCGTTTATATTCATGTTTTTTATTTTAACTTTTTTATCATTTATATCATTTCAAACTTTTGAACTCCTTCCTTGATTTTAGAGTGTATTTAACTGTATACATTTATTTGAAATATTTTAGAAAAGGATATTCTAAAAACACGTCCATTTAGAATAAAAATATAGATTTCCTTATAAATGATTTTTTTTCAATTTTAACATGCGTATTTTTTTCAATATACTAGTATTATATTTTTTGAATTAAAAATCAAGTCTTACCTCCCTGTCGTAAAAATTAAGCTTAATCATTAAATCAAACATTGTACACTGTATATGCGTATTTATCTTAAATATTTGCAATACCTACTCTGTACATTCGATCAGATTCTTTTCTATTTTCAACAAGTATATAGTTTCCCTACTTCTATTCCCTATGTATTCTTTTGGGATAAAAAAAATATTATATATTTTTTTAGGGATAGTACCCTATTTTACAAATCTAAGAATACCGCATCGGCTCCATTTTATGAAAGTGTCTTGAACTGTGCAGGCAATGAAGTTAGCATAAATGCATGTCCAAAAGGATCACGTGGCTGCCCATCAGGATCACAAGTAGCTGTTAAATGTAAAAGTAAGGTTCGTGCCATGGAGTAAGTGTTGAAATGAAATTTGATCACAGGCATTATAGTCTGGTCCGATTTATAGGTAAAAAAATACTTCTAACTGCAAATAATTATTATTATTTTGGCCCAGCATAGTTTTTTAAGTTTTTCGAGTATGCTGAATCCGAAAAAAAATATGCTGGCCTTCATGATAAAGGCGTTAAAGAGGTCAAAATGGCGATCAAAATGGCGATCATCCAATTTTTCAATTTCTACACTTCATTCGAATTTTCTCTGTTTAATTTGACTATTGTTCTATATTCTGATTTGTTCGGGACTTTACATGTGCAAATATCCTTACACTGTAGATTTATATTTTTTTTCTCTTCATTTCACTACTCACCATTGTATGATGGTGCGGTTGTAAGTTAAAAGTCAAAATAGCGATTAAATATGGAGGATGTTCATTATTTTTTTTAAAATTATTTCTTCATGTCGTTTACATAGAAGAAATGATTTGTGATTATCTTACTGAATGTAGTACAACTATGTAAAATTCCAATAGCACACTAATATTATCACTTTAATTCGGATAATTTAGTCGTATAAATTTAATTTAAAATGTGTTAATTAACGTGTCCAGATGACGTCATTTTCACTCGAATTTCGTAAAATACTCAAACTCCTTCACTCTGAGTTGTTTTGCAGAAAACGAATTATTTTGTTAAATATATATTGTATATTGATAAGTCCATTAAATATGAACAAACAAGAAATACTAAAAAAGATTTTTTTTTCTGGAAATGGTTAAAACAAACTCGACTTAAGAGTTTCCAAATTTTTCCCTTCGCATTTGACCGTGTTCCAAAGCCTTTTAGCCTCCGTCCATCTAAAATCACTCCTGAATCACTGTCATTATCAACTCGCACTTCTACTTCAACATCCCGCAGCACACCATCAAATAGAACTAAAGAAATTCTTGTCTTATTTTATCGAACACTTTGTACTAGCTTTTGAAATTAGCACTTAAAAGAACCTAGTATTATCCCCTAAAATCTTCTATTCCAGATTTATTTGCTATATGTTTAATTTCCATCTGTCTCCGGAATTTGGTATTTTCAACACTCAAGTAAAATGATGCCCCGTGTCAAGAATGACAACCCCCTTGGAACGTAAAAGATCGTTTCTCTGGAGTTCGAAAAAGAATAAGCTCACTGGGGGTCGCCAGAGAAACCAAAATCCTTCAAAAACCGATTATTTAAACTGATAGTCCGCCGAAACATGGCTAAAAAATGCCGACTCGGCGTTAAACAATATAAAATCAATCAATCTCTCAAGGAACAACACATTTATGTTCAAATGTTAACAGCATATTTTGTTTTCCTAAACCTTATGCAAAATGAACTAGAGGAACTGTGAGCAATCAGCTGGCTTTAAATGATACCCCCTGCCTTCCATATAAATATAATAAAAGTGTCTCTGTTTTCCTAGGGAAAACCCAAAATATGTGTCGGATCAAAAAGTAAAACAGGAGGTGAAAAATGGCAATATGAAAGAATGATTCTGTGTAAGTTTCATCAAATTTCATTCAGTGGAATGATAGGATTTGCTGATAAGAGATGGGTACCCCAAAGCGTAACAGACAAACAGACGGACGGACATACCGATTACTCTATATCCTCCCACTTTTCAATCGGGGGTATAAAAAATCTTTGATATTCAAGACATGTAGCTCTTTACTATGTGACTGCGTATAGATTTGTTCTCCTTTAGGATAGAAAGGTCATTCTATTAGCAAGAAAATTCTCAAACTCTGTCATTTCGAATCACATTGTGTGCATATTTTGGTGAGGAAAATTGTATACTTATGCAATTTAAGAGCGCCTGCAGATTCCTCGTAATTCCTATCACGTAATTAGGACTAAGCCATTCTTGTCTTCGATCTAGTCAACACGTCTCGTGACAACAAAATTTTCTTGAACACTCCATGAACTTCACATGTACAAGGCAACGTGATCCACACTTCTTTGTTAGGATAGTGTAAGGTTATATCAAGAATCGAGGGGGGATTGAACAGAAACATTTTCTTCTTTCAGATTTTGTAAGTTTCAAAAATTTATACACACTGGTAAATAAAAGATTATCCGTTCACAATATTTGAGAATGCAGTTGAATTTTTGACTGAGAATAACAAAATGCAAATGTAGGGACACAAATGTAGGGACACATAATCAGAACTGGACAATCTAGAAAATTTATGGTTTACGTATATTATACTATTGATTCTTAATGAATATGTTTATATTTTGATATTAAAATATATTCAGATTTATATGCTGTAACAATTACTAGCCCTCTATTTGGTCGTGATCAATCATTTTAAAAATCAAACTAATTTGTACTAGACCTTCCACATGAGCATATACATTTATTTTTTTCTAAACTGGACTAAACATGGATCAAGAATTTCCAACAACTGATATGATTTAGCAACCATCGAACTACAATGTTCACTTGCCTTAATGCTCGGGGAATACTGCACTTGGGGTAGTTTAATTTTCATGTTGTCCTCAAAACAGCAATTATTATATATTATTATTAACTTTTTATATGAAGAAGCATGGTGAGACAGATAATAGGTAAAATGTCTTTTGAACTATTCTCAAGAATTATATATTTTATTGATAGAAGTATAAAACAAAAATCCATGTGATTAAAATCCTAAGTCATTAACAAAAGTATCCTCCAACTTTCATTTCATATTTGAACATTATTTCATAAATTAAAAAAAAGCCTGTAATTTATATTCTGCAAAACAATCAGAATTAAGCAGTTTGGGTATTTTACGAAATTCGAGTGTATGTGACGAACGTCACTTGAATTGCCATTTTGAGCTAATTAACACAATTCAAATTTAAACGACTTAATTTTCCAATTTAACATATAAATGTTCCATTGTCATTATACATGGTTGTACTACGCTCAGTAAGATATTCACAAATCCTTTCTCCTACATGAAAGGCGTTAAGAAATAATTAAAAAAATGAATATCCATCATTTTGAAACACCATTTTGACTTTTCACTGACAGCTGCACCATCATTCAATTGTAGAATAGTGAGATGTAAAGCAAAAAAAAACATCAGCAGTGTATGGATATTTGCAAATGTAAAATTCCGAACAAAGAAAAATATAGAAACAATAGACATATAAATCAGAAAAAAATCGAATTAAGTGAAGAAACAATCAACCAAATTTTCTGAGTTAAACTTATGTCTAATAATTTAAGCATTCTATTACGTTTTTTTTTTTTAAAGTTTTATTACACTCATTACCTTTCTATTTTGAACGACATTAAGGGAAAATTAGAAAAATTGGATGTAAGCCATTTTGAATCGCCATTTTTACCTCTTTAGCGTCATTTTCCTGAAGGCCAGCATATTTTTCAGCATACTCGAAATAGGTCAAAAACTACATGTATGCTTGACCAAATAATAATTATTTGCCGTTAGAAGTTATTTCTAGCCTTCTTTTTAAAAATCAGGACCAGACTATTTATTAGTGTTGTCAAATCGGACAATTTTAGTACATATAACTGGTCACTCGCTTTAAGGACAGATGATACAAACATTCTTTTTCTTTGAAGGAGACTTAATATTATCTCACAAATTTAGAAAAGTGGATAGTTCTTAGAATTTTTTCTCCAAAAAAACTGGAAAATGAAATATACTTGGAAAATATTAGTAATATTTCAACTAAATTACAAATATGGACAAAACACACTCGGTAAAGGTTTACAAATGAAAATAAATTTCAGAATATGTTACCTTGGCGCTAAAAGTGTAATATTACCTTGAAAAAAGTATACCAAGCCAGGTGAATTTTACCAGGAAAAGCAAAATAGTAAAAATAAGCCAATATGATGTTGCTAAATTCTTCTCATTTTGTTTTTCCTCATAAAATTCCCCTGGTTCTATATTTTTTTAAAGTTTATATTACACTTTTAGCACCAAGAAATCATATTATGAAAGAATGGGTGGACTTAATGCCCTATTTTGGATCTTTTTGAGACTACTCTAACAAGTTGAAAATAAAGTGAATCCAAAATATATTACAACCACTAGAAAGAGCGACGTATACATGGTTATTTTAGATTGAACATTTGTACGAAAGCAATGCCTTATTGCCATGAATCAAAATTGAAACAAGGATACATTAGTGTGGTCTTCCGGAATTTGACATGTACCCAGAGTGGTTTTTAGGTCACCCTATCAATATTAATAGGAGGCGGGGCAATCGATCGGTGTCATTGTTGACATTTCTCTCTCTTTCCATCTCTCTCTCTAGAAATTCGAATACGTGTTTGTAATATTACAGTGATGTCATTATGATTTTTTTAAAATGTGAAGACACTCAAAATTAAAACAATATTTAATGTGCTAAATTCTGAAAATGGCACCAAACATAGCGATTTAAATCTAGGTCAGGTTGAAGAATACAATGTAACTGTTTCCACGAGTACACTCGCAGGTGGACATCACGTAATGAATTGTAATATTTAACAGGTCAATCGAAGACGTTACAATGGAAGCGAGAAGTTTGTTTGGAACATGTTTTTTGATAAATTTAGTGTGAGCGCACGTTTGTCGGCTCTTCTCCTTTTAATGTGACATTATTTTGTTCAATATACGACTACAGTTTTCGTAAGAACAGCTGACAAACATGCGCTGACTATGTATTCAGACGATGAAAAATGTGTGACCTGATTATCTATTGATATTTAACAAATCTTCAGGCACTATGCCTTCGATATTTATTTAGTTTACCTAGAAAAGAGCATTTTCAATTCACATCCGTACCATAAATACACACTTAAGATATCGGGGATTTATATGATGGAAAAAATCAACATTTTATGGAACTTAAATTTGCAGCATTTTTTCTGGCTAGTTAAGTCCACCCATTCATTATTTACACTTTTAAACATTCTAATCGAGTACTCGGTTAATCAGATGATTTTTTGTAGAATTTTACATATCTATCATTATCTTATTCTTTACTTATCGGTAGTTGTAATATACAAACATACTGTTAATTAGCAATATCTACAATACACACATATAATATCGTCAAAGATTTTTTTTTTCATTTTCCGGCCGCCCCCGAATTATATCGCGGTAAAGAAGAACAATTATAAACATACTCCTTAAGTACATGTATTAGTTCATTTGTGGAGTGTCCAGTACATTGCTAGTTCCCGTATAACATTTAAAGCTGATGTGATTTAGCAGATTTTGAAGCAACTGTTAAATCAACAAAATACTTAATATTTCTGTGGCTGCATCTCGTTTAATTATTAAAGGAGGTAGCTATAATACTGATCTTCAAGGCTTCAAGAACCGGCAATCAAAGCTTCCAAATATATAAACTGTGCAATCTGATCAAAACAATTCGATCCACTAGATCAAGGCTAACAGTACTTAACATTAGTGTAATGTATAAATATACATTTAAAAACAATATCGCATTATTTTTCTGTACATTTACTACGCAAAATGTATTTTATATGAGGAACTGAATAGCAGCTTTACTAACCGGTGCTCGCATAGTTCAACGGTTAACCGGGTACTCGTTGAAAACACTAAGTCTGGTATTAATGTATGAATTTCAAAATAAGTTATTCTTCAACGATTTGTCGACGGATAATTTAAATTGTATCATATAAATACAGTTGTGGCGAACCCCAGACTATTCTTTACGCAAATCATCAGAAAGTGTTATGATTAGTTTCTTTTTTACTTTTACCAAAAGGCAAAAACTTTTCTGGATTTTCCGAAACTATCTTGTAGATAAAATATAAAAATGGTTATTTTTTTATCTCCAGAAGGCAGCACACTCTCTGGATTTTCTGTGTATGTATCTGATACAGAAGACTGGAGGTCAGGAACTCTCTGTTATCAACACGACAAACAGCAAATACAACCTACTGAGGTCTCCATAGACTGTGTCACTTACGGTCGCTACGTCACTGTTTACAATGCAAGAAATTTAACATCATTTCCTAATGTATCCGAATTTTCCTATATAAATATATGTGAAATCGAAGTTAAAGGTAACTGGTTTTTTTTCTCTTTGATTGATGGATAAACAAGAAAATGTTATTTTACTTTGGAATACAGTGGAGCCTCGTTTATCAGGACGCTTGGTTCCCAGTCAATTTGTCCGGATATGTGAAGTGTCCGGATACCTGAATCACCAGTTAAACTAGACAAAATTACATTTTCAAATTCTGTTCCGAAAAAAAAGTCGTCCGGATACTGAAGCATCCAGATATCTGGGGTCCGGATATCTGAAGGTCCACTGTATTCCCTATCAAACTTCTACTTTTACCTTTGTTCTTGTTTTAAGTGTTACTTACTGTACTTATAGACAACCTTCCTCAAAACATTGCATAACAGTAAGAAAAGAAAAAAAGGATTTTTCTTTTTTTCGAAACAACTAAAAAAGAAAAGAAACGTAAAAGAAAAATTCAAGGGGTATTATTTGATGCAGTTTATGTTTGATTGAAATAAGCTTGCATTCATATAACGTAGAAGAAAGTATATTTTTATTTGATTCTAATTGGATTTGTGTATTCTGAACAAAGGAAATTCCATTCGATGTTTTTTGTTTCAAAACCATAGAAATTAAAGTATTTTTCTCCATTAACTAATCATTATGACCTCATGAAATTATAAATTATCACCATATTTTGAGTTGACTTTTTAAACACTTTTAAAGAGCATAATCTCTTACACGAAGTATCCCCTTCTTTGTATATATGAATATATATACAAAGAATATATAAATAATAAAAAAACATAAATAAATTTATATATAAACTGTATATATGAAATATCATGTTGTTGTTTTTTTAACATGTGAATGTTATAAGCTATCTTTACTTTTCAAGTTGTAGAAGAGTATGAAAATAAAAATAAAACTCACTTGTTTCTAATTGAAAAAGAAATTTACAACAGAATTGAAATGTGAAGTATTGAAAATTGCATTAAATGAGAAAAAGAATCCCTTGTCTTTTTTTGTATTTAAAAGACGTCTTACGATATGAATCATGTTCATCCTCGGAATGTTATTTGCTACATTGCTTGTAATATGAATCCTTTTTGAACTTGAAAACATGCATCTACAACACTCGGTGTTTTTTTTTTCAACATTTTTATCTTGAAGATAGGTGAGTTGTTCTTCTTTTGTTTCAAATTTTGAAGGATGTGACCTGGGATTTTACGGAGAAAACTGCACCAGGTGTCCTCAGAACTGTTTGAATAACACATGTCACTCTCAGATTGGAGAATGTTTTGAGTGTATCGATGGATACACTGGACAGTATTGTGGAACAGGTATCTGTGTAGTAAGATTTGATAGTTAGAACAATTTTAATTGGTTTCCACAAGTTCCCTTTCTCTTGATTTATTTTTGCTTGGACTTAATCTGTGGATGGAGGATTACATTGTAAACTGAATCTTGTTTTGACCACGAATAACAAGAAATCATTATATTCAAATACTAATAATATTAAATTCAAAAGTATTTTGGAAAACTAAATACGAAAGATTGGTCCACGATTAAAAAGGTAATTACAAACATACTCTTGACTATAGCCAGTAGACATGTAAAAAAATCGAAACTTTTCCTATTAATGTAAACACATTTTTGTCTTAGGACCTATGATTTATGATATAATATTGTACCTTATAACTAAGGAAATCAGAAGACAAAAACAGTACTATTGCAACTCTCTACCGTGAAGATGATATCAGATTAAAGCGGGAGTTTCTCATATATGTAGTTTTTTGAAGCAAGGTCTTCACGAAATGTTGAATTTCCCCATTGTTCTTCATTAAAAGGCGACTTAATTTTACATTACTTTGAAGCATGAGTTATTCAAAACTTACATGAGAAGGAAAAAGCACATGCAGTGACATGTAACGTACATCTCAACTTTTAGATGCACCGATAACATTTTATCTGCTGAAACTGGTTATACCCATTTAATTTCGAACTAGATTCTGTATAGCTGTCACTCTGTTTCAAATTTGAATATTTTGCCTGTATATTGCAGATAGTATAACCAGGACACAACAATCAGTGCATCGATTTATTGTGATAACGGTAGAGAACTGAAACAAAACAAAAACAAAGAATTACTCATCAGTTACATGATACATGATGTCACTTTATAACTATAGATATAGCATAAATTGTATAATAACTTGTAAATAAAAAATATTCAAAAGATAAATAGAAATAAGATTCACTATTAATTCCAAAATATAAAGTTTTGACACAAATGGGTTTCCATAGAAAAATGTAATGAACGTACTCCAGTTTTAAGTTTAAAGATTATGACAACAACAGTGTTCCATACTTTTCAGAGTTAACAATAGATATTCCTAATAAACAAGTTACACACTTTTCATACAAAAACACTGTAGATATAATAAATATACGCGTAAATAACATAAACAACACAGGTTTACTTACAGTGTACAGTGTGTGGCAGCTTAAGTCAAAAACTGAAGAAAATCTAGCATGGGTCTCCATGTGTGGGTCACACAGGAAATTAACACAGAAAGTGAGGAATTTAGGAAAAGTAACTCCAGATTTACAAATAAAAAGATAACTCTTGAAATTACAACAGATAACTATTTGATTAAAGGATATAACTCTAGCTATGAAATAGATAAATAATTTAGGAAAAATATAAAAATGCAAATAATATAGGAAACTATACATACATATAATTTAAATGTTCATAAACATTACATTGAATGTATCACTGACAACAGACGATGAGAGCTTTTCCATTGTCAACTTGAACTATTTTATACGTAAGTATTTAATCTCATTTAAAGGAAGAATTCTATTGAATCCTATTGTCATTATATTTATTTTGTGACACAAAAGCAAGGAATAATTACTTGCATACCAAAAGAAGGAAAAAGTAAATTTCATTTTAGCAATTGGAGGCCAATATCACTGCTTAATATTATTTATAAAATTGGATCAGGATGTGTAGCAAACAGTTTAAAAAACGTTTTAACCAAAATAATTAGTTCAGATCAAACAGGATTGATATCTGTGAGATACATGGGAGAGAATACACATCTTGTATATGCTCTGATGCACTACACAGAATTGCATGGTATTCCAGCTGGAACATTAGTCATGATAGATTTTGAGAAAGCCTTTGACTCTGTGTCATGGACTTTTATTCAAGAAACATTGGAATTTTTTAACTTTGAACCAAGTTTTTGTAACTGGATAAACATTTTTCAAAAAGATATAGTTTCTTGTGTGTCTCAGGCAGGAATTTTATCTGACTTCTTCAAGTTAGGAAGGGGCTGTCGACAGGGTGACCCAATTTCTCCTTATATATTTCTCTTATGTGCTGAATTACTGTCTATTAGAATAAGAAATAATGAGAATATCAAAGGAATAAAGATTAATGACACAGAGTACTTAATGACACAATATGCAAATGACACAATGATAATTCTTGATGGCTCTGAAAAATCACTAAAGTCTACAATGCTAGAATTAGAAGAATTTTATTACATATTTCTACTATGTGCTGAGATACTGTCTATTAGAATAAGAAATAATGAGAATATCAAAGGAATAAAGATTAATGACACAGAGTACTTAATGACACAATATGCAAATGACACAATGATAATTCTTGATGGCTCTGAAAAATCACTAAAGTCTACAATGCTAGAATTAGAAGAATTTTATTAAATGCCAGGTCTCAAAAATCAATCAATCAAAAACTCAAATTGTTTGGATTGGAAGTAAGAAGTATTCTGAGGATAGACTCTGTCCTGATCTAAAATTTCACGGACAACGAACGTTAAACTTTTATGTATTTATTACGATGTTGACTTAGCAAAAATCACAATACTGAACTATGACAAAAAAACTGGTTAAGATTAGGACCATCATAGAGCAATGGACAAAGAGAAACTTAACTCGTATTGGAAGAATCACATTGATGAAATCACTATTTCACAGCTTAATCATTTATTTATTACTTTACCAAACCCACCTTTAAGACGCTTACCTATGTACATTTTGTGAAGCAGAAGAAGAAATAATATTTCATTTAATTTGACAATGTCCAGTCGTAAAACAATTTCTAGATGATTTTGTTAGACAGTGTCATCAAAAAGGCATTGTATTAAATATAGATGGTGAATTTTTTATATTTGGAGATATAAGAAATAAGTATCATCAAAATCTTTAAATATTTTGCTTATGTCAATGAAGCAATATATTTACAGAGTTAATGTCAAAACCTCAGCCTCTCTATCCCTAGTTTTCTGAATGAATTCTAAATTATTTATCAATCATTGAAATATACAGTTTGTCTATCTTTTCAATACGTTGGATCGCGGCTATTTCGACGTTCAGGAGGGAATGCTTCCCTGTCATAGGCATCCGATCACATGTCTGGAATTTTCGAAGACTTGCGTTGCTATTGGATTTGTTTGTCAACTACCGTCCATTATCAAAACCTTTTATATTAACAAACAAAATGTCCGTAGTATAGAATATTCCAAAAGTGTAGGTATTATGGTAGACTTTGTTTGGCCTGTTCAAGGAGTGCTTCGGGAGACATTTTTACATGATATGATCATGTTACAAAGTTGTTAAATGAGCTTAAACATTATCTCACATTACATGTGCTGAGATATTATGTCACATGATTATTTAAAACAAAGTCAGATAAATATTTGCCGACAGAAATCAACATACAACGATTAATTTTTGTTTATAACATCTTAAACAAATAAATAAAATACATGTAAGTATTTGCGAGTTATAGGACGTTGAGAAACTCGTGGATATTTAGCACACCACAATTAATGCTTATTTTCAAAACTTCAATTTAATTGCACGACAACAAAAGACTTCTAGCCAACACTGGACTTCTATTCAAGAACAAAAATATAATCAATTCATTCTCCCATGACTCTAGAATAAAGTATAGCCAGAATTTTAAAGAAGTTTTATTACTGGTTTTGATATGGCATGAATAAACAAAACAATCATTAAAAAAGGATATCTTTGTCATAATTTCATTGCATTAATTTCGTCTTATAAATTATCTAGAATGCCAAGCTGGTAAATATGGAAAAGCATGTTCTGTCCAATGTGGACAGTGTATCGATGATAAACAGTGTAACCACGTGAATGGATCCTGTCCTGGGGAGTGTTCTCCTGGATGGAGAGGTGATAAATGTGATCAAAGTAAGTAATGACAAATGTATTACATTTTCAAAAACTAATAAATTCACGGTCTTTAAAAATCTTATTTATGCGTTATTTTGTCTCTCCCCATTACTGTATACAGGGAAATTCTTCCAAAATACTATCTTAGTAGTTTTTTTTTTTCACTTTTGCGAATTTTTAATTGGGCAATTTCAACGAAAGTAGCCTTATTTCTTTTGAGTTAGGATAAATTAAAAAATAAAAAACTTCTTAAAGGAATATAAAGCAAAAGTAAAATAAAAATAAATTGATAGTGTTTATTTTAAATTGGCTTGACTTTCATTTGATCGACTTTAGAATGTTCTACGGATTCTCTCTTCACGTTGTACATATATGAGACTACATATTCGTTCTCAGTATTGCTTTCTTCTGTACATCTGTTCGCATTTTGTTTGTTTGTTTAAGGTCCTAAAGAAATTTCCATTGGTATTAAGAGACAACCACTTGTGATACATTGCTGCTAAATTCACCTCATCTCAGCATTTTTTGTTTGTTTTTTTTTTAGCAGTAGAATTTTTTTCCGTGGCACAGGACCTTGCTTTTTCCTGTATTAATTAACATAGAAGTCCCATTTTCAGAAAGTGGTTTCGATGTATGATTGACATCGTACTTCTGGTCTTTAGTTTGCATTTTCAAGTTCTGTTCATCAAAGTTATCAAGATTAGTTAAATTTGATCCTAAATGTATAAAATAACAAATATTATGGTCTATACTCTAACTAAACTTGAAACCGGCACTGTGTTGACCTTAAATGTATCCAAATGAATGGGTATTGCTTAATGTGTCCAGGGAACAAGGATTGGCCGTTTTGTGAAATTGCTCTTAACACAACAACACTAACATTACGTTCAAAGTCTAAAATTTCTGATAATTGATTCTCGTAATTTTTTTTATACCAATGATACCCTTTTTAACATTTTCACTTTGCACTTCAATACATCCTTACTCTTAAACATTGATAAATGTTGATTTAATCGATTAATGTGTTAATTAAAATTGAATTCTAAAAAATGAAATCAATATAAGCACAACTAAACTAAACGATCAATAATTTATCTTATTATATAGCTAATAAATATTCTCTAAAAAAATAAAACTACCAAAAATCCAGAGAATTTTAGCGTTCAATATCTTGACGTTTTATTGAACGCTAACTTTGTATCACGTATAAGAGTATGCCAGAAACATTCCGAATACGAGCGTTCAATATCGAACGCCCCGTTGTAAACAAAAAAAGTCGTCTGGTCAAATTCTCAGAGCTAAATTACAGAAAGGAAGTGGTATCTAGGTAAGATGTGTATATTTTTCACAGTAAAATAAAAAAAAAAATGTTAAAATATAGTACGTATACATATATTAGACCCATTAAAACCTAAATTAGCAAAACATTCGCTCGGTAGGGTCATCGGAATGACGCGATATTGAACGCTAACAGGAGAGACTTTAATTTGAATACCGATACTAAAAATCATTATTTAAGGGTTTTTTTAGTTGAAATATTTATTATAAACTAGGTGGAAATGTTTTAGCTATATAATAAAGGAGTTATTGAACTTATATCGGTGAATATTGGCACTCGTTGGCTGTTAAAATGCACTCGCAAGCTCGTGCATTTGAACAGCCAACTCGTGCCAATATTCACCGATAAAAGTTCAATAACCCTATATTATTTCCTTTGATCTTAGTGAAATGAAAAATTAATACTAATATTCATTTATTTTGTTAATCTCGAATGATAAAAGATACATGAAGATGTGGTAAAGAAACATGAAAACTTCGATGGTTGTACATGTAAAATTGTTTTTCAGTGAGGTCGAAACCAACATCATGTATCCGTGTAAAAATTAAACATATCTGAGGAGAGAACAAATGTTTAACCTCTTCAACGGTACCATATATTAGTTACTGCACATTAACAACATTTATAATTAGTTACAATTAAATTGTAAATTTCTAGGCTTTTGCGCATTGAGAAAACAAAAACTTTAGGTTTTATTCAAGCTGTAATTACACTTCTCCAGAATGTGACCAAAGTTTCTATGGACGACAATGTAACATGACATGCAGTGAATTCTGCAGGGGAAGACTCTGTGATCCTACAACAGGTCAATGTAATAACTGTGTTGATGGCAGATTAGGATTCTTCTGTGAATCAGAAGTTGCGGTTGCTGTTGACAATTCTTGTGCATATGCAGGTATATTTGATGACCCATAATTTATACAGAAGAGAATAGAGAGTATTTCTTGAATAATACAGTAACATTTACAAAATACAGTAACATCTACAAAAAATATTAATTCTGCATTTGAGATTTAAATGATCCTTGAGAAATATACATTGCAGAAAGTGAAAACTATTTTGCTCGTTTAAAATTGCTCAAAAAAGGTTTGTAATTTTTTTTTAACTTTTGAAGTTTTTAAGCTGATATACAAAAGGCTAATTTAATGAGAATGCGGTTCACCTTGTAATATTCTTTGACTTTTTTCTTTTAGGCTATAATTGGCATTTAAGTATTTCAATATTTCCAAAGAAAATCGGTATAAGAAATAGACTTAATACGGCCCGTCATGTGTTTTCGTGGTACATGTATATACGTTTTCGTGATATTTTTTATTTTTAGGAATAATCCCACAATGCGAGATCGGAATTATATCATATTTGCTATTAATAAAGGGGAACCCTGTGCATGTTTTATGACCACATGTTAAACCTTTTTGCCTTTGCCAAAATAAAATATAGCGAGTGAGTTATGCATAATTCGCAAATTTGACAATCTGCGTAATATACGTTTATTCGTCGTGTTTTGAACTAGAATATCAAACTTACAAACTAATAGCCGCCGATCCTGAATACCATCGTCTGTTAACTTTCCATACAGCTTCCGGTCATGTGACAATAATTTGGAATTTCCCACTTTTGATATTTTTTCTACGGTGATCTAGTAACGTAATTTTTTATATAATTTTCAAAGAAAATATCGCGGGTGTTAAAAAGTTATATACGGAAAAAAATTTATGCCATTGATAATTGATTGAATTAAACATTCAATTTCTTTAAGTATACATGGAATTTATATTTTAAAACATGAAACATTCAAATAAAGCTTTACAAAATTATTTCTAGGCCACTCTTGAGAAAGAGTTTTTTTTTACATTATTTAGCAATACAGCTTAGGCACGCCTAGATAGATGTGGTCTTAATTAACAACAAATAAATTTCCATGTTAAATAATGTAATCATTTTGTCAATTAACTAGTATTTTTGACACTGTAAAATTTAGAAGGATTTTGCCAGACTAGATTTCCATAGTTTACTTGTATTATAAATACCACGAAAACATCTGACGTCAGCAAAAAAATCGAAAGAGCGACCATGCAAGAATTCAATGACCTTCTGAACAAATAATAAATGATATGTGAGTTAAAATCATTTTAAAATAAGGAGAATTATTGTTTATATGTGTGATAAATAGCAAACATCTCAATTATTCAGTCTTGAAGCAGACTATATTACAAATTAATCGTAATGCCACGAAAACTCATGATTCGAGGGTACTGTTATAACCTTATTTAGTTTCCCTGACTCGAACTTCCACATCAACATTTATGCGTTCTACATGTAGAAGCATTAATTTATATTCCTTTTTTTATTAAAAAATAGATTCTTGAATGATGTTCTCTTTTCCACTTTTAATCATTTTTTTTGTCCTTAAATTCTGGTTAAATAGCACAATACAATAAAAATTCACTTCGTAAATAACACTTGCTAAACTATAAAATATTTTTGAAAAATCAAAGAATTGTAAAACCCATAAAAAACCTAATTAAGTATTGAATGCCTGAAAAGAAATTTTTATAAGCATAATCTTAGCCAAACTTTTTTTTTCTTTTATTTCTCAAAATATGTAAGGCATTGAAAATATGTTACCAGAGAAGTTGTAATTAGATGCGATTTTGCCTTTCAGATTATTTGCAAAAAAATATGTCGATGCTATTTTAAATAAAATTATGTAAATTGTAGTTGATTTAACTTATATTAATGTATGTAAAGCAAGGGACCCCTGTAGTCAAGAAATAAATATTATTAATATATAATGCATGACATTGAAGAATATCCAGAAAGAAAAATAAAGAGCAATAAAGAAAGAGCCAGAGATGGACGATTTTGCTTCGTTATAACAGTGTCTCTTTATATCTATTAAGTATATAATATATTGTAAAGTCGGGGGAATTTAAAAATCATTTTATTTAAATAGTCAATTCATTATAAGGATGTTTGTTATAAGTGTGATTAAATTTCAATTCATTAGCTGCGCTATAAAGAAAATTTACATATAACTTCCTTTTTTAACAGACGGAAACACATGGGACACACCGCCTCTGATCGCCGTTGGATTGCTATCTGTGGCTGTGATATTGTTGATAGCAATATTGCTTGTCTGTTTTCTGAAGAAAAAACACCAGTCCTCTAAACCTAACAAGAACAACCCTAACTACCAATTAGCCATATCAAGAAAAGACAACAACGAGTATACTGGTATCCATGCGGCCAAATCTGCTGAATATACAGATGTGGAAACGTCTCATTATATGGAGATAGGAAACTCAAAAATCAAAACCAAAACGGAGTACATTAATCTTGATCAACTATCAAGTAATTGAACGAAATTATACTAAAAAAAAATTTTTAAAGCAAAACTGGCGATGTATATTCTTCTCTCTGCTTCTGAATAAAATGTATGACTAAGACAAGTATTCATGATTATTCACGAGAAAGCTCCCAGCTTATAAAATAAAAATAACATTATATGATCACCCAGCGCTGTCGCCGTTTAATTTCATGACGTCCGACAACGTCATTATTTTTCAATGTCTTTACATTTCTACCTCAAACATTTATTTCGATGGAATTCCCTGGAGTTGAATAAAAATTTAAACCCGTCTTGTTAATATGACTTTACGATGTCATGAACGGCTGCTTTTCATGCATGTAATATTGCAAGTGGATTTATACATTGGGAAAGATCCTCGCTTGGTTATATCGGCATATTTTAGGTTTTGAAGTTTAATATCTTAGAAACAAGATCAATGTCATTTTTTGAGATGAGTGACTTTTCAAAACTTGACTACAATAAGACATTAATATGAACTCCCTTTCTCTGCGAATCTATTTTGGCATTTAAAAACAAGTACTCTTGATGCATCAGAGGTCTATACAATTTTTAGGGGCAAAAATTTATAGATTGTTGTATGTCATCTCAATCCCTTAGTTATTTGGACACTCCAAACAAAATTTTAGAAAAAAAATAAAGAATTTTTAGAAGGTAAAATTTGTATATTTTACTGAACAGTAGTGTCCCATCACACACCTCATTTAGCGGATATTTTAAATGTCAATTGTTCATAACACTCAGATCGAAAAAAGTATCATTTAAAATGTTGCGCGAACTGGACATACCATAGCTCACAAAAACATTACTTATTTATTAAAACATAAGATTAATGATTTTTGGTTTATTTTGAACATAGAAAAAATAATGCTTTCTAAATATTTCAAAATTTATTAATAAACCAAAAGCGGTTTTAATTTTATGGTGCCATTCTTTTCAATTCCATCTCGAAAATATGTAGATAAAACAGGTGTATTTTTAAAGCAAAATGACTTGTCAAATACGTGAATTCATATCAAAGCCACGGAACTTATATGGACTACTCATTACCCGCTAGGTGGCATGTTTAAAATATTTCTTATAAAATATTATTTCTGTGTTTTCTCTGTTCATAATTTGTATTGTTTTCTGGACTTTTGACCTTGAATACTTAAATTAAATTAAAAATTAAAATGCTGCAAAGCAGAACATATATTACCTAAATTCCTTTCTAGTATACTTATTGTTAATAAAGTATACATTCCTTTTTATGTTCTTAGTGTTAAAAAAATCCCTGATTTTAGATAAATGTTACTTCCAATACTTTACACTATACATCTGACAAGAATCATTACTTGATGTCAACGTTTAAAAATGCAGTCGACTTTTGAAAATTACTTTGAAATTATTCTTCTTAATTTTTATACTCATTTAGACCTTTCCATATAAAGAAGGAATTGTACAAGGAATGTTTTATCTTATATAATACCTTAGCCTGAACAATTTTTTTTTCTTTATTTCATTTGCCTAACATATGATCAGAAATAAAAAGAAAATTCTATATAAATATTTATGTATAATAACGTTGTACGTTTGGGTGTTGGTCGAAACTTACTTTCCTATTTGTGGTTACAAACATTTTATAATTGTAGTTACTTGTTCACCAAACCGGAAATTGACAAACTTAGAAAGAAGCAAGATTTAAATATTTCATAGCTCCGGGAGAAGGAAAAAATCTTTTTATGAACCTTTTATAAATCAATCCAGTCCTTAAAACTGTGTAAGATAAATATCATCTTAAGACAGGAGTATTTAACTTTATGACGTGGGATATTTTACAAGAGAGGATGGTTGTAATATGAACAGTGAGGAAATGTTGCTTTATTAATATATAATGGATCTTGATATTATCATTTTTTTACTTATCTTCAGCCGGTTACCTCTCAATTCTCAACAATATGGTAAGTTTCCATTTTTGTTATATGTTTGATTCGTACGAAAACATCAAATGTTTTAAAATTCATTATCAAAGATTTAAAGAAGAAAGTCAGCAAATAAACAGAATTAAAAAAATGTGTATAAAATTTAAGAAATATACTTATTTTAAGAATATCAAGAATTAAACAGCATAAAGGTGAGATTTCTTAATTTGCCAAGAAAGAATGAAAAAGAAGTATAAAAAAATAGATATAATATTAATTTCAGAAAATCTTGCCATTAGGAAATCTGTGAGGGTCAGTAGTAGATACAACAATGGATACTTTGAACCAAGTAAAGCCGTAGACGGAGATAAAAGTGCCTACATGCTTGACTGCGCACTGACAGCTTCCGGTCAGAAAGAGGCGTGGTTAACTGTGGATCTCGGAGAGAAGAAAAATATAGCATCAATAGCAATCTTACATGGGAGTTGTAAGCAGATATGCGTCATTATTCTCCTATTTTAATTATCAAACAAAAAACACTGGTCTATGTTATATGAATTTTTATTGTTCCTTAGAGGACAAGTTTTACAACAATATTATTGAAAGTACGCTGGTATGTTAAGGCTACGACCAAATATTCCTTTGCCCACACAGTATGACGTCATAATTAACTATATGACGTGTACTTTGGATGTAACGATTTCTTAAAATCTATATTTAAGGTGATTCCACCCTCACAATTTTAAAGGTTCAAAGTACATAAAATGCATCTATTTTCATTTAATATACTTTAAACTTTCCAATTTTTGCAAAAAATGTATAGGTCACCATATTATTTAAGATGAGAAAAATAAATAAACAAAAGTGTATGTCGACATAAAAAATCTCACATTTTTTATAAACAGTATTATGAAAAAGATGTAAAAACTGGTTAAAATGCATGATTCTGATGCTGAGTGTTCCTAAATACTTCCTACGTAAAAGATACTTTTGAATTGTGAATATCAAGGAAACTATTTTACAAAAAAGCAAATGCCTGAATGAAGAGACCTTAGAAGGAGTTATTGCCCTTGTCAACATTTTTGAAAGATTGAATAATTGATTAAATATAGAAAATATGCATTTTTAAAATTCTTTAACTTTACAATATTTATCATTTCACCTATTGTAAAGCATTCTTTCAAGAGATATTGTTCTATTAGGTATGAATTAAAACTAATTACAGTTTTTGCGAAAACCTATGACATCATAGGAGGGTGGAATTACTTTAAAGACTGATTTGAGGTCATAGAAATCTAGTTGAAACATGAAGAAGATTAATATCGCCAAATCTTCTCGTTTTGTGGTTTTATAAAAAGCTATATTTTTGTCACGGGGGTTAAATACCAAACCGATGACGTCATACACATTGATCGTTATTAACAGACTGAAAGTGAAATGTAAGGATAATTCATGTACAAAAACACAAAATTGGAGTTAAAAAGCATTCAGCAGAAATGCCATGCGTGATTCATTCAGAAATAAAGCTTATGAATAAGGTATGTTAATTTATATTTCTACGATTTCTTCGTATAGTGAAAGCAGACAGTGTTTTTATTTCCCGATCAGCCTATCCTCTATCGTTTTTAACAAAAAAGATGCAGAAGTTCAACACTAAGCCGCATACTTTGAAACATAATGTTCTTTTTCTATCGTATTTGGAAATTGCAGCTAGAATCGTATAGTTAAGAGGTTTTAATGATATTTTTTTTCAATTTTATGTACAAAATGTTCAAATTTTGTTGAGGTTTCCTCCAAAAGTGTTGAATAACTTTTTCTATGACAGGATTGTATGATTCTAGCAGCACCTTTAAATGGTACAGAAATTATCGTGCATAACTATAGAAGTTTATTATCCCGGCTAGTGTTGAAGTTTTCACTTTTCATTATGGCATTTTTTATCTATTGTAAACGTCACAGGATGGTGTCGTGGCGGGATGCTTCCTGTAGTGTAAGTCCCATTGAAGTATTTAGAATGGATAATGAAAGCAACAGTTTCATCCATTACTTTTCTGATTTATCAGTTGTACATATTACATGTAAAAATTAGTGTAAATTCGCCACTTTCTGATCTGTGTGCTGCCTTAACATACCTGCCTACATGTATCATTTAAAGTGTAGAGAAATCTAAGACAGTCGAGTACTTGTATTTATTTGCCATGGAAGGTTACATGCTTTTTCTTGGAGATATACAGTACCAACAGGACACAACCTAACACCAGAGCGAACCCGAAGCGGACCCCAGGTTCACTTTGCAGGTTCGCTCGGGATCCGCTACGGGTTCGCTTTCAGAAATTTTGGGACCGTTCTGGGTGCGCCTTGAGTGCGCAAGGGGTTTGCTTGGGGTCAATTTCGGGTCCGCTAGAGCGAACTCGGCGTTCACTCTCTGGGACAGCTTTACGCACTGATGTGTTTAGCGGACCCCGATTTAATCTAACCGCCATTAAGCCACGCCACCTGTTTATTCCAATACAGTTATCGAAATTCGTATTCAATCATTGTTGTTTTGGCGGCGATCGATACATGTACACTGTGCAGTGTACATGTATACAGTGACATTGTGGAGAACATTGATAAATTTTCCAAAAGTCAACTGTACATTCGACGTACCGGTAGATTTATAATTTTTTCCTCGATTTCTTTGCTCTCCGAATTTCGATCCCGAGATATTCCAAGTTATTTAACAGCGGGCTATTTGGCATTTATTTTTCTATATTTATAACATAAAAAGGAAAAAAGGAAGAGGAAGAAAAAGGTATTGAATTGATTTTCAATGTATCGAATGGTGTACAAGTGAAACTGACGAAAGCATTTAAACAAAATACTTTTCAATTCATACGTTATATAATTCTAAATTATATTAGTTATGCTATATGTTTTGCTAAATCGAAGTTTCAATGAATTCAAATATTGAATTATATCTATAAATTAATGGTTATCTATTGTACATGTAATATATTTAGATATTTACAGTAGTTACACATTGAACTTCGTAATAATTATATATTTGCCGGACATTTTCAAACAAAAATCGATTTTATCAGATGTTTATTACGCTCAGAATTATGGAGCGAGTAGGATTTTAATCAGAATGAAAAAAAAATGACAATTAATAATTGTTCCCCTGATAAGAATATATATTATTAATATACCCCCTACTTCCCATACACACATGAATGAAATTTAGAATATTTAAAAAATCCATTTCTTAATATTTAATCAAATATTAATATTAACAGGAAAAATCAAGACCAAAAAAAAGAGATCGTAGCTGTAAAGTCTCATCATTAAAGTCGATATTAATAATATACCGTTAGCTTATTATTTTTTTGTTAAATTCATATGAGTCGTCCTCCCAATTCTGCACTCAAATCGTTTTCCATAAGCCCGAAGCAGCCATTTTTTCCCAAATGATATACAGGACGATGTACATGCACATTGAATTTTTTCATACCCAATTAGGATCAATGATTTTATATGAATTTTGATTAATTTGAAGGAACATGTAAATTGAGACAATGGAAATAAAATAATTGAATAATTGGCACGTACATGTATTCTCGACATATTCTTGTACTGTATTTTGAGATAATGAAATTATAGAATTCGTAAAGACCAGTTATTTTTCTTTTCTCATCTATTTCTTTAAGTAAAAATTGAAATATCAACTATTATCTTTTACTTTCTTTTACGCATTGACTGATAAATGTACCCAATTTATATTAAATTTTATCAATGGACTTAAAATACTGATGAAAAGAAACTGAAGAAAATAAATAGGTAAATATTCAAGTAACATTCTACCTGGAAAATTAATAAATATATATTTTTTAAATTGCTTTTAAAAATTAAAGAAAATAAATAAATATAACATACAGTCCGGAGAATCAAAATAAATAAATGTAAAATAGTATTCTACATTTATCATAATAGATTTATACTGAACATTCACACGCTTTGTTAGTATGTAAAATGTTTGGATTAATATCCAATAATATCACACATTCGGTCTTTTATCCCAATCGACAGATCAATATGTCATTTTGATTGGTCGACGCGCTGATTGGTTAATCGCTAATCCTGATTTTCAGCTCTGTAAAGAAGTACCAAACGCGTGTTAGCTGTCTGGGACCACTACTGAATTTGGGGTTCTCTCTCTGGATCCCCTTCGGGTTCACTCGGGGTCCGCTACGGGTTCGCTCGGGGTCAGTCCTAGCGGACCCCGAGCGAACCCGGGGTCTGCTCCTGGTTTGCTTTCTGTTAGGTTGTGTGCGATCGGTACTGTATATAAATGATTGGTATCGTTGAACGAATTTGTACGAAAATCCTCTAAAATATATTGGAATCTTTAATATTAAAAGATTTTAACATACATATCTCACTTTCAGTTGGTCTTGGTGCATTTTCATTAAGAACATCTGACTCTGGTCTCTTTCCTGATTCAACTGGAGACGGACAAGTCTTTGCTGCTAATCGATTGAGAAAGATTTGTTACGATAGTTTTGAAGAAAAAGATGCCCAAGTCGTTTGCCTGGCTTGGGGGTTTTTACCGTAAGTATAAATATTTAATTAACTTTTATGACATTTGATTAACGGTTGAACTTGAACTTTATTCTCATAACTGACAAAACAGTGTCAATGAACATGAAATATTACATGCATGAAGAAAGGACAGAGTAATATCAACCAAGAGAGCTAACTCTCTCAATTATAATGTTTAACAATTAACAAATCTTGCAGAGTTGATAAGTATTGGTTACATTAAAAAGCATTTCAAATTTCAAAATATTTGGATTCAAATAAAAATATTTTGGCAAATACATGACTCTTGAGTTCTTTATAGACGCATCAGTGCATTTAAATAAGTAATGAAATTCATCCCCAATGTCATTGATTACATAATTTACAAATTCTGTTTTCTCTAGGGATGTTAAACCATCTACCAGTTTCAATTGGTAATTTTGTATTCCCAGTTCTAAATAAACAATATCTCTTGGATTGTTTTGGAGGCAAATTCAACAAATAGTCTTCAAAAATTAATGATTTTTTAAAGATTCTATACTTCAAACCTTTAGGGGAAATTTGCACTTCACTAAACCATGTTTGTTTAAACTGATCTAAAAGAGTGGTATATACTTTATTTTTAAGCCAAGATATATTAATTGAATTTTCATACCAGACATAAGTCAATCCACATTCATTTAAAATTTTCTGTACAAAGTCACACCATGGATTCTTATATAATTTCAATACACAAAAAAGTTTTGCTGATAATTTAGAGCACTGAGCATTAATGAGTTTACCCCAAAATGAGATCATTCTAACTTTGATATCAATTAATGAAGGGTGTCTACCAAGTTTTCCATACACCATAAAGTTTGTTGTTGAGTTTTCAGGCTCAGAATATGTTTACAAAATTTTAGGTGTTATTTCTTTATCAGTTTAGTATTGTGAAAACCCCATATTTCGCACCCATATAAGAGTATTGGTTTGACAATTTTATCAAACATGTCTAATTTACAATCAATTGATAAGTTATGTTTTCTACATCTACCAATAACACCATACATAGCTTTAGTAGCTTTCTCATATAATTCTTTAGTATTTAGATTAAAAGAATTACTTTTACAAAATGTAACACCCAAATATTTAAAGTTATCAATTACATCAAGCTTGGAGCCTTCAAATGTTAAAGGGACATTATTTTTCTCTTTACCAAATATTACGACTTTTATTTTCTTACTATTAACCTTAAGATGCCATTTCTTGCAATATTTAGAAAAAGTATTAAGCACGTACTGAAAATCATCTGGGTTTTCAGATGACAAAATAGTATCATCAGCATATAATTATACAAAAAGCTGTAAGTAGAGATTTAGTTCTCTCATGAGTTTTTCTGATAAACAAGACAAACCTTTAGCTTTGTTTCCATATAAAAATTCCTCAAGGTCATTTAAGTACAATGTCAATAAAAATGGCGACAAATTCTCCCCTTGTCGAACTCCTATATTACATTCAAACATTTCTGAACTCATTTCATTCACTACTACTTTTGATTTTATACCTTTATACATGTTGGTTATAATCTTAAAACATCCATCAATATTATTTTTTAAAACTTTATTCCATAATCCAATATGCCAAACCGAATCAAATGCTTTCTCAAAATCAATAAATGCACAGTACAGTTTCATTTTGTTTCTTTTGAGAAGTTCTATAAGAGAGTATAATGAAAAAATATGGTCTGTGTACCCATACCTCTGCGAAAACCTGCTTGATTTTCCAAAATGAGTTGTATATTATCAGCATATGAATTTAATCTTTAATTAATACTTGCAGTAAATAACTTTCCTACACAACTCAGCAGTGTAATAGGTCTATAATTTTTAGGCTCAGTATTGTCTGCTTTATTCTTGTTTTGTAAATTGGGATTATATTTCCACAGGCCCACTGAGTGGCCTGTACACCTGAGTCGAACATTTTGTTGAACAATTCAGTGTATAAATTCAACATGCAGTGACTTGTATTTTTAAGATATTCATTAAATATTCCAACTTCGCCACATGCCTTGTTATTTTTCAACATATTAATACTGTTGCGTACTTCATCATGTGTTATTTGTTGGTTAATTTCATGATTGAGCTGAACATCAGCCAACATTTCAAGCTCTTCTTGTGTAAGAACTGTCGACCCTGAATCTTGTTCATTATAATTTTCATAAAAGCATTATTTATAAAATGTAAAAAGGTCATTCAAATCAGCATTACATCTTTTCAGGATTTTCCAATATTCTTTGGGATTTTTTGTTCTTAAATTAGCGAGTTTCTTTTTAATTTCTACTCGATGTTTAATGTTAGCAATATTTAATTTTTTCCTATACATTTTTTTTTCTTTTTCATACAAGTCAGCTTTAAAAATTTCCCCTCCAAATTTTTTATACAACCTTTTTGCTTTTCTAAAGTTTTGTCGAGCATTTTTACAATCATTTGTGAACCAAGGTTTCTTAAATTGAATTTTTTTTCTTACTTGTATTTGTATTAATTATTTTCTTACCAAAAGTCTCTTTAGCACTTGATACCAATATGTCACTAATTCATTCAACAACATCATCTATAAAATCCGATGTGACGTTTCCTGCTGATGTGTTTCTGATTTCGTTTTCTAGTAGTGTGATTGCATTTACTTTGTCTTTTATAGTGTTATGAAATGTTTCTTGCTTCTCACGTATCCATTTTTTAGCGATTTCATGTATTTGTTTTTGCTGGTTATTTAATTTCGAAGAATTTTCTTTTTCAAAGGCTTGTGACACTTCTATAGGATTGTGAACATCAGATAATAAAGTAGAAAATGTTAATATTTTAAAATTAGAAGCATATCTTAGAAACTCAGACTTTGAAATACAATAGTCTACAACACTAGTTTGTTTACAAGTAAATTCACTATTTGGGTCACCTTTGGATCTACCATTGAGAATAAAAATATTACAATGCTTGCATACATCAATAAGTTTTTCCCATATTGGTTCACAATCATATCTTTTGAATTTCTTTCCAAGGAAAAACCATGTTTTCAAGACATCTCATATCAATTTGATCAGCAGCCCAATTAAAATCAATATCAGACAATATATGGTCATTTGTTTGTGCAAAAGGTTCGTCACAATCATTAAATTCTTTCAAGGTAGAGACTCTACTGTTAAAGTCACCAAGTAAACAGATACACTTATGCTCTGTGGATAGTGTAAAAATTTCATTCTCAATATCTTCAAATATTTCACAAGATGAAAATCTAGAGTTTACAGGCGGTATATAGACTGTACCTATTAATATATGCTCATCGATTCCGAATGCTTTACCTTCTATTCGGACCCAAAGTACATTGTCACATTCATTATTAATAATGTTACAGTTTTTAGCAATTCAATCTCTAATATACACAACTATTCCACCGGATTTCCGAAATGATAAATTTGTTCTATGCTTAAAAAATGCACTAAAATTTGGAATGTCAATTATATCAGCTTTATCGGTTTTGGTTTCTGTAAGGCACACTATATCATATCTATTAACAAAATCAAGAAACTCAGGATATTGGAATTTTGAATTTAACCCACAGACATTAATAGATATCAATCTTAATCTTAATGTGTCTTTTGATCTGAGAGAGTTACTTGAGTTTTTACTTTCATTAATAATTATTTGTTGTTGCTGTCCGTGGTTTACCTACATCGGAACTTTATTGGAGCCTGGATCAGCCACGAATTTGCCAATTGGTGGAAAGAATTGTTTGCTATCTATGATAAGTTTGTTCACAATCATCACAGCCTTCTTCCCTTGTTGTTTCGCTTTTTTGCAGTGAGGATATAGAACTTTCCTGCGCTCGTTAATTTCCCTGGGAAATTGCTGGTAAACGCCAAATCCCTTTCCCTCTAGGCTTGATGGAGCGGCCTTTCTTACTTTTTCTCTTTCTTTATGCAGCACGAACTTTGCGACGATTGGTCTGTGTTTATCCGGTAGTCTCTTCCCCATTCGATGTACCCTGTGGAACTGTGGAACTTCTGTGAAATTCATTTTTGCACGTATGAACTCTTTCAGTACTTCTTCTGTATTTTCCTCTTCAGTCTCCGGAATACCACTAAATACGAGGTTGTCTCTCATCGATCTGGTTTGTAGATCTAAGTTGCGTTCGTTCAAATCCTCGAATTTATTCCTCGCCATTTCTAATTCATTCAAGATCATTTCATTTTCGTTACTTATGTTACTAACAGATTTCTTCATTTCTTTGACTTCCCTCGTTTGATCATCGTACTGTTTACTTATATGTGTCACACACTCTTCCACCCCGTTGACCTTGCCCTTCATTTCTTTTACCTCTGTGTTGACATTCCGTTCCAGTTCATTAAGTCTCCTTTCAATATGATCTAATTTATTTAGTTTAGTAGATACTTGTTCTAATCGATTTGACATAACTTTCAAAGTCTCAAGAATATCAACGTGCTGATATTGGAGTTGTGGGGGGTTTGGTACTGATGGTATAGGGGATAAGTACCCAGCAAATTAACTCTGTGGTCCCGGGGGCCCATAGGGGACAAACTGATTTCCTTGAAAATTATTTCCTTGACAGTTGTTTTGAAAGTTTGCAGTTGGTGTAGATGCAACTTCCGTTGGTGCACTAAGGCTGATACTACTATTACTGTTACTCAATTGACTCTCCATATCATGGATACTAGGAACAAGCAATGATTCAGTACTACTCACATGTACTTTCTGTTTCCTTTCACCGCTCGTGTTTACTGTTTGATTTTTCCTTTTCCCTTTTCTCGGCTATGTCTCAGATAGGTTTCCCCACACATAACTACAAATTTAAACAACAAATCTAAGCGATCATGTGTACAAACCACGATGTATATTGTATTAAATTCGAGAAAATTTTCTCTGCGATTTTTTAAAGCTGCCTCCCTTCCTCACGCATGCGCTAAAGGCGGTTGATATCATTGATACATGTAATTATGAGTAATAGAGCAAATGATTATAATTATGAGTATAGAGCAAACAAAACAATTTTTGATTTCTTTTTTTATTTATATATTTTATTTTAATATTTCTATCATTCATTTTATTTAAAACTTTTGAACTAAAAAGAAAGTATAATCATTAAATCAAACATTGTATATTCGTATGTTTGTCTTCAATATTTGCAAAACCTGCTTTCGATCGGATTTTTTTCTAATTTCAACAGGTACATTGTATATAGTCTCCCTACTTGTATTCCCTATGCATTCTTCTCGGATGTAAATAACAGAAATAATTATTTATTTTTTAGAGATAGTTCCCTATTTTACGAATCTAATGGTACCACATCGGCTCCATTTTATGAAAATGTCTTGAACTGTGCAGGCAACGAAGTTAATATTAATACATGTCCAAAAGGATCACGTGGTTGCCCATCAGGATCACAAGTGGATGTTAAATGTAAAAGTAAGGTTTGTGCCGAGTAAATATTGAAATGAAATTTGATCACAAGTATTAATTAGTGTTGTCAAATCGGACAATTTTAATAACCAGTTACTCCCTTTGAAACCGTCAAGTCGAGTACCCGGTTAATCGGATGATTTTTCGTAAAAGTTTCCATATCTATCATTATCTTATTCCTTAGGCCCTACTCATTGGTAGTTGTAATATACAAATATACTATATATTAACAATATTTACAATTCACAAATATGATATCGTCAAAGAATTTTGATTTTTCCTTCTCTGCTCCCGAAATATATTGCAGTCAAGAAGATCTATAATTTACATACCCCTTTATTACTAGTTAATTTGTTGAGTGTCCAGTAAATTTCTAGTTTCCTTAATATATTTTAAGCTTAGGTGGTTAAGTAGATTTTGTATCAAATATTCATTAAAATCAACCCCACACTTAATATTTCTGTGGCTGCATCTGTTTAAATTATTAAATGAGGTACAGTAAAACTCGTACGAACACGAATATAGCGAATTCACGGATATAGTGAAGTTTTTCAGAGTCTTAACAAATCTTTGTAAAATTTTAGGGTTAAAACGAACTCTGATATAGCGAATTTACGGATATATAGCGAATTGATTTTGAGTCCCGTTGAGGTTAAATATAATAAAATTGACAACTTTTAAAACGAACTTTCAAATATTATACAAAGTTGATAAACTAAACTGACTATATTTCCTTTTAGCATTTGTATATAAAATTCAATTCATAATAAAACTTAAGTTATCGAAGATATCTTTTGTAATAATATTTGGTAGTAATACTTGTAGGAAAACTTGCATATTGCCAATTCGCTATAATGGTTATACGAATTCGTTAAACGGATATAACGAATTACAGATATAGTAAATTAAATTCACAGGTCCCCAGGACTTTGCTATAAGCGAGTTTAACTGTAGTTATTACTCGGATCTCGAAAGCTTTAAAATCCGACAATCAAAGCTTTCAATTACATAAACTGTGAAATCTAATCTAAACAATTCGATCCACTAGATCAAGTCTAACGGTGCCTAACATTAGAGTAAGGTATAAGTATACTTTTAAAAATAATATTGCATTCTTTTTATGTCTATTTACTATGTAAAATGTATTTTATAGTATTTTAGAGTAACTGAATAGCAGTTTTACTAACCGATACTCGCATAGTTCAAGGGTTAACCGATTAAACGGGTACTCGTTGACAAAACCAGAATTAATGTATGAATTAATAATATGTGGACAGATAGTTTTAATCATTTCATATAAATATGTGGCAAAGTAATGACTATTCTTTATACAAATCATCAGAAAGTGTTATAATTAATTTCTCTTTTATTTTAACCAGAAGGCAAAACCTTGTCTGGATTTTCCGAAACTATCCTGTAGAAAAATTTTAAGAATGATTCATGCTTTTTTTATATCTTTCCAGAAGGCAACATAATCTCTGGATTTTCTGTGTATATCTCTGATACAGAAGACTGGAGGTCAGGGACACTTTGTCATCAAGACGACATACAACAAATACCACGGAATTACATTACTTTGGATTGTATCACTTCTGGTCGCTTTGTTACTGTTTACAATGCAAGGAATATAACGTTATACCCAGATGTGTCCGAATTTTCCTATATAAATATATGCGAAATCGAAGTTAAAGGTAATATTTTTCTTCTCTTTGCTTGGTGGGTAAGCACGAAGCATTATATTATTTTAGGATATCTCCAATCACACTTATTTTTAAAAACTTTTTACATTTACCTTTGTTTTAAATGTTAATGACTGCTTGTCTACATAACCCTCCTCACACCACTGCAGCACAAAAAAAAAGAAAAAAAAGTTTTTTTTGATCAAAATTTAAAAACTACCAAAAATACCCCAAAATGACTTCTCATTCATGACTTCAAATGCTTGTAAACGGCATATTGATTTACACATGTTAAATATCCCATTAAATATATTTTTAACCCAGGTTACTACACAAATCATGGAATTAACGCACTTTTTCCGATTTAATTTGCATTAAGACGTCAAAAATTTATCAGTTCTCTCTATATTTTGATTTTACCTTTTTAGAACATTTTAAGAAAATGTGATAAAAAAAACTTCTGTCGAAAAAAAGAAAATAACAACATGAACCATGCTAACATGCCACAGTCGACAAATTTCACATTGTCATTGATAGAGATTCTGAAGGATGGTTGATGAAAGGTACAATTTTGAACATCGTGGAAGATTTAAAATTTCTTAATATTTTCAAATTTTATTATTTGCATAATTTACAACAGCAATAGACCCAAAAATACATATAAATTTTAGAAATGCAAATAATATTAGATAATGATATCTTCATTTCTTTTACGATTCAGAAGAGTAAAGAAAAAAATAAATGTATCATATGCACCATACAAAAAACTTAAATAAATTGTCAGGTCTATGTAAAATTAGGTTTTCCTGTTGGTGGTAGATAATTTTTTTTAAAGTCAGAAAAAGTATTTACTGTTTTCTGAGATTTTTTTTATAAAAAATTTAAAATTTATCTTCAATTTAAAAAAAATATTTTCTCTCCCTCCCTCCTGTGTCTGAAACCCTTCAGGCAGCAATTCCAAACAAATAAATTTTTAAGGATGGCTGAATACACATGTGAAATAAGAGAAAAATCCCCAGTACTTCCTCACCTGTTCATAAGATATTTGTCAAGGTTAAAGTTAAATTGGGTTCAACTCTAGGGTCAAGGTCAAAAATATTCATACCTGTTGAAAGTTCACAATGGTTACACATGTTAAACATGAAAGTCCTAGCACCAACTGTTCAAAACTTAGGCCAAGTTTAAGCTATTTTTCTTGTAAAAGTGGGTCAAACTCCAAGGTCAAGAGATCAAGAGGTCAAAATTGTTGGTACCCATTAAAAGGTTTTGCCAAAAAAAAAATTAACCTATGAAATGTGGAAGCCACGCATGTGTATAGCACAATCCACTTAAAACTTATGGGCAAGGTTAAAGTTTCTGTGGACAAACAAACAGACATAAGCACAGGAAACAAAATATGTATATATAGTCAAATGGAAAAAAAATCCCATTATTATGGAGTCATAAGATCAATTGTCATTTCAGGTACAGGGAGTCAGTGGCAAGGGAGATCAGTCCCCCCCCCCCCCCTGGAATTTGCAGTTATTTAAATAAGACTATTTACTGAAGAGAATAAAAATGACTTTGGACATTCTTCCCCTTAGAAAACATGGACTCCACCATCATTGTTTTTATTTTTTTTATTTGCTTCTCAGGAAATATTGGGCTGGATTTTTTTTTTTGACTGAGGTGTGACACCCCCCTCCCCCCTTTCCGAAAAAAAATTCTGGATCTGCGCCTGTATATATACTGAATGTCCGCAACGGGAGATAACTTGACAATGTGAAATTTGTCGACTGTGGCATGCGATGATCTTTGACCCTTTTTGAACTTCAACCTAACCATTTGCATTTATCTATATTTATGCAATCTATACTAAATCTTTTACTTACCGAATATCATAGGTCATGTCAACGAATTCATGAAATATAATCCATATAATCCAATTAAAACACAGATGATTTCAAGTAACCACACTGCACCGTCAGCATACATGTGCTAAATAATTTTATTCGGCAAACCTTTGCTGATTCCGTCGCCTTCATTAGACAAAGTATGAATCGGCCGAGGTGTTTCGATTGGTGATATCTAAAAATATGATTATGGGTGACACAAACCCAATGTGAATGTAGAAATTTTCAGTAGGATGTTCACACCGAAAACTGTTTATTACAAGAACAAATTTCAAACTGTCATAATAAACAATGTTTTAACATAACTTTGCCATCTAGGTCTATTTTAAAAAAAATGTGAGAGAGAGAGAGGGTGTGTGTGTGATGGTGTGTGTGTGTGGGGGGGGGGGGATAGGCATAGACAAATTAATTGGGTTGTATTTTC